TGGCAAAGACACATCTATTGGGCTGTCCGCCCAGCCATCCCCTTTCCTGGGAGTCACCTCCTTACCTGTGCCGTGGGGACAGTGATGGCTCCCAGGGTCAGGCCCACGAGATGTGACCATGGCCACTATTGCTCAGTGGGTCTGTGGTAGGAGACTGGCCGAGGCAGAACTGGAACTTGGGTTTGGGACTTAAAAGAGAAGAACCCCCCAGCTATTCTCCAGGAAGTAGGCTTGAATTTTGCGACACTGGATATCCTTGTTCTCTGCCAGGAGGGTCTGCAGGAGTGGATGAGCCCAGAGGTAGGGGGGATGGGAAGGCAGAGGTGCAAAGGGACTGTGTGCAGAAAGGAGCCAAGGTGGGAGACAAGGAGGCCCTGGAATGAGACCCAGTCCCTGGTGGCTGGGCACCACGAGGTAATTGGGAGTCATGATGATAAACTCTTTTTTGACTCTCTCAGTTAACAGGTTTATGTTACCTGCAAGGGAGGGAACTCACACTTACTACAACATCCTGCCCAGATCTCAGACTCAGCAGAGGACAAGCTTCACTCTTCCCTCCTCCCACCTGCCACTCACCCAGCTCTGGCACCACCAAAATCAGATTAACCCAGAACGCTGTTAGAAACAGGTCAATCAGCCTAAAAATCTCATTTAAAAATATGCCCAAAACAGAGCAGAGAGTAATTTTAGAGACTTTCTATAAAAATAAAATAAAAGCGGAGCTCCAGTAGACTAACTCTGATCTGGGTCATGATTTATGCCAAATTCATCATAAGACACATGAAATTGAAAAGGCACTGTTTACCATCCACGCCAGATAATCTTCTATAACACACACTCTCAGTGTGCAAAATTATCATTTTTTATAGCCATCTGTAGATATTTTGAAAGCACTGTGGTAAAGTAAAAGGGAAAGAAAGGAGCCACAAGGTATGTTGTGAAATAAATGAGCCACAAGATATACTGAGTAATAACTCGTCCTGGAGACAGAGGTTTCTTAATCTCCCCCTGGCTAGCTGTGTGCCTTGAACATGTTCTCTTATTCTGACTTAGCTTTCCTGTCTGTGACGGGGGATATAATAAATAGAAATAAGACCTTCATTTACCACCATCATCTACCTGCCAAAGTGGTTGGGGGATTCGAGTGAGCTAACAGCAAAGAATGCCTTACAGCAGATACCAGGGATAGTGGGAAAGAGCACAGAAGAGGAAGAATGAGAGTCTGTCAGATGAGGAGTAAAGACCACGTGGTAGACTAGCACTGCCCCCAAGCCCTGCCTTCTAGAACCAGTTCTGGGACTGTAGGGCTTGTGGGAAGACACAGCCCACTGAACTTCGAAAGTAATGGAATGGCTTCTTCCATGGTAACTCCTAGAATATTCCTGATGGAGCAGCAGCAAGGATATTTCAGTGATCCCTCCCTCCTAGAGACATCTTTTTCTCATGTCCCTTTTTGGCACCAGTCTTGGTGTCAAATTTGGTCAATTCTTCCTCTCAAATAATAATATTACTAGCAGCTACATTTATTAAGGATTTTTATCTGTGCTTTTCAGACATGGTTTTAAACATAGGTTTTACATACATCATCTCATTTAAGCCTCACAGATAAAAGCTACAAAGTGAGTTATAATTACAGTCATATTACATCTATGAGAGCAGAGGCTCTGAAAATTAACTTGGCCAAGATCACCCAGCAGGTAATAGACAAGAGTTAGGATTTGAACCAAAGTCCTTTGAAATGAAAGCCATGAAATTGATCCTGCCTCTGTTTCCCCCATTACCTTTGCCTTGTGCTGAGTTAGTCCATTATTATCTCCCTCAGGACCACTGCAGAACACTCTACCTCCCTATGACCTCTCCCACCAGCTGCTATCAGATTCTTTTTCCAAAACCCAATTCCCCTTCTGCTTTGGCTCCCAGCCCCAACCAGGTAAACCACACAGAAAATCAGGCACTCTCAATAAATGATTGCCAAATGAATGAAATTTTTGCTTATGCTGCCTTAGCTTCCTTCCTTCTACAAAATTTGTCAGCTTATCAGTCAGGGTCTGACCCTTAACAGATTTATTCCATAAATACCCACCTCATGGGTCCACCCTGAATCACTCTCTCATCCACTCCCTAGGGCATATGGTTCCCTGTGCCAGGAACACCCTTCCCTCAACTCCTCCAGTCATCCTGTCATCATCACCCTTTTTAAGTTGAATGAATGGACAAGCAACTCCTCCTGAATGTAAGCCATCGTTCTCTTCTCAGAGAGACTAAGCAGGGGACTCGGCATCCCTCTTGCAGCTTCAGACCAGGGGCAGGTGTTTATGAAATACCCACACCAGGTTCTCGAGCATGTTCTGCTGTGGTGTATAGTCACCTGTCTTTCTGGTCTGATCTAATCTGATCTTTTTCTCTGCCCAGGAAGGTAAATAGACTTTTGTGTAAACTCCCAGTTAAACAAGACCATTCCATCTTGGATTTATAAGGATACACGATGGCCTTCACTTTAGAGAGTTACAAATGCAAAATCCTTTATATTGTTTGGCTCAGACACAGGAGGCAAAGTGGAAAACTTCCCAGTCCAATAGCATGAGAAAAGGGAGGCCAGGATCGAGGGTCCTCCCTTTCTCTTTCACTCCTGCACTGGACCGGGACCCTGGATTCAAAACACTCCACCCTTTCAAATGAAAGTATATACCTAGGGGATCATTCTTTCTGTGAATATGTTACTTTGTGGAGGACTTGCCATGAAGTCATCTGAATGACTTCAAGGTTAATGTATTAAGTTAGTCAAGCTAATGAGTAGGATTCCATTTCTCTCTCTCTCTCTCTCTCTCTCTCACTCCTGTCCTCTCTCATTGTTGTTGTTTTTACATCTTCTGTTATGAAGATGTCTGCTTATGATCTGGCATTCATGAAACGCACTGGCCCAGTAGGAAAAACCATGTCTGCTACATGCCCTTTATGTGGCAAAGTACCTATAAGGGACTCTGAGACCATTATGATATCTAGCAACTAGATGAAACAATTTAAAAAATGGGATGCTGGGGGAAAAAAATCCAACACTCCAAGATGTCCCCTTTGAAATTCAATATTATATTCTTTAAGAAACCCAATCCCCGCCATCCCCCACCCCCAAGGGGTAATGCGGCTCTGCTCTGGTATACTATTAAGACTTTTGGGAATTTCTTTTTCCAAAGAAATAAGTATTGATGAAGGTCAAGGAACAAGCAGGGCTAACACCCTCAGATTACAGCAGGATTTAAATTCTTCAGACGGCTCCTTCTAGACTAATAATGATGCCAGATTTCAAAACCTGAGAATGTGTTGGATATAGGATACATTTGACCTGATAATTTGAATACAAACTTCTAAAAATATGGCTTTCCTTTGTAAAACAAGTGTGAGGAAACCTTCCTCTGAAACCTAGAGGAAGCAAAATAAAGCAACATATGGAAAGAGATTATAGGATAACTAATTACATGATATGTCTTAATGACACATGGATGCTTCACAGTCTTTTTGAAGACGCTGTTATAAATTCATATAAAACAACCGAATTCTATTCCTTTTGCATAAAAAACTCCAAAGAAACTAAAACTAAAAACACGAGATATTTGATTATTCAATAATATTTACACCAAGTCTACAAATAAAGGAAGAGGTACCTATCAAGAATAGTGAGCTTGTATCCCACATTAATAAATGAACTAGTTTCTACTTCTGTCTTTTGGATTTCCAAATTTAGTCTTTCAAGCAGGGACATAAACAATACGTAGTATTTGTTCAGGTTCTCTTCAATGGCAACAGGGCTCAGAGTGATTTGTTTCATTACACTGAAACTTAAACTAATAAAAAATGGAGAACTACACTTCAAACTGTTTCAATTCCTTAATCTGAAATAAAAAAGTAAGAAAATTTTAATATAAATATATCATAATGAAAATCTATAAACTGCCTATAATATAAACAAGTGTTAAAGCTCACTAAATACCTTCTCTCTCCCTCTCTTTCTGTCTCTCTGTCTCTCTCATTCTCTCTCTCTCTCTCTCTCACACACACACACACACACACACACACGCAGACATATAATCCTCTTATGAACAATAGCTGACCAGCTAAAGAAGATGATAAGGATTACTATAAGTTTTATCATTTGTATATTGTAGTAATCAATAATAGCATTCAAATTTTCATAGTTTAAAGAACAATCCTAGAATAAGTCTAACATGAAGTCAATAAAAATTTAGATTGCCAAACCCTAATAGCTGATACTTCCCACAGACCATTTAAATTTTCATAATCTTGTTCCTGAAAACACAAGCCCGCAGACTTCCCAGTACAGGGAGTAGGACAAACAACAATACTCATGAAGGGTAAGGCACCATGCCATTAAAGTTCTAACAAGAGACCATCCCTCCTTTCCTTACACTTCAAGTCTTAGAACTAAAGCAAAGAGTTAGCCAGGTAAACATGGCAGGTCAGGACAGTCATTGTCCTCAGCAATGTGAAATTGTACTTTGTGGTAGGTCAAGGAGGGGTCAGTCTGTGAGTGCTGGCTTAGCCACCAGAGGCAATTATTAACTCACCTGAGAAAATTTATTTTCAACCCTAATTTTTACCTTTGGTTTGCACTTGAGGGTAATTCATTGCTCTCACCAGGAAAAAAAAAAAAAAAAAGAAAAAGAAAAAAAAAAGAGGGAGGGGAAAAAAGATCAAGAATTGGAAAACCAGCATAGCAACATTGTTTAAATTCATTTCTTATAATCACATTCATTAACAACCTGTTTAACCTGGTACAAGTGTTCCTAACTTCTGTCTCAATACTTTCTGCTCCTGTGCAATCCAATCACTTTGAATGTTATGTTTTAAAATACTGCATATATAAATAAAATACTGAATATAATACATATTTACTGTATCATGATTAACAAACAATATTCTGTGTGCCCATGTGAGTGTGTCTGGAGACAAAGTACTCCCCCCACCCCCACGCCATGGGCACTTACCTTCAGGGAAAGCATTGGGCTGCACCACACGGAGGAAGACATGCACCATTTTAAAGAGAACACCAATGGGCCCAGCTTTGTAAGAGTCTTTGGTCTCATAGTTCGTGGTCGGCAATTCAAATTCCAAACCATCAGAACCCTTTGTGGATGACAAAGGCCCCAGGGCAGAGGTATCCCAGAACAGCTCCAGCAGCAGCAGGAAGCTGAGGAGGAGGGCCATGGCTAGCCAGATCCTGCACGCATGAGGTAGAGCTGGGGGCCTCCGGTCTCAGAGGTTCTGGAAGCCTAGGATGAGACAGGAGCTTGTGTTCCTGCGCCAAAGAGGCTCGGCGGCAAGCGCGGGGTGTGCGGAGCCCACTCCCTTCCCTGGCCGGGCTGGCATGCAGCAAAGGCCGTCTGAGAATCTTTTTGTGGATCCGGGTCCGGGTCCGTGGACTCAAGGCACCATCCCTGGTGGGAGAGAAAGGCAGCACTCAGTTCACCCGCGGCCTGTCTGCCCCAGGAACCTCCAGAGAGGAGGCAGCACAGCTTAGAGGTAGCGCATCTGCCTAATCCGCTGCGTGGGAGGCAAAAGCAGAGACTGCTTAGAGCTGCAGGGGCACGAAAGCCAGAAGGCCCCACCCCAGGGTCCAGATGCATAACGCAGACCTTGATGGGTTCCAGAAACACTCTATGCTGCAGAGAAGGCTGTTCGGCCTTAGGAAGAGAGACTTACTGAGCACTTACTATGTACCCAACACTGCTGTACATGCTGGGCTGGCTGGACCCTGTTGAAGGCATAATACCATTTACAGATGAGGAAACCTCTCCACAGAGGACTTCGGGGACTTGCCCCAAGGTCGGGGATGATTAACGGTGGGGTTACAATTCAAACCTGGGAGTTTTCCTTCAGAGCCCCTGCAAGACACCAGCACACCGTTCCTACAGAGCCTTCTCTCTGGGGCTCCACGCAGGCCTCCAGAGGCCCCAGCCATAGACCAGATGCCTATTTTTTCTCCAGATTGGTGTAGGTGTCCCTGCTTTCTGGAGATACATCTTATCTGCTTTTTCTTCTACTCATTTGCTCACTGACCTTATTTCAGACATCTGCCTCTCCACCTCATCCCCAACCCAAACTAGAAGACCTCAGAGGCAGAACCAAGCTGTCTAAGGCTAGGTTACACTGGAATTTACCTTTCTAACATGTTCACCAGGTAATCCTGAAAGAAACCTTCACCCCCAAGTCACTACCTGGGAATTATAGGTCCCAGGGATGAGAGACAGGGCAGAGGGAGATCCCCCACCACCCTTCTTGGGAGGGAGGAACAGGAATATGAGAAGCAGCTACCAAGCCAGTGTAGAGCTAGGGCAAGAGACCCAGAGGGCCTCCAAAGTAGACCCTGTCCCCTTGTGTTTCTAGCCCCAGAAATGAACAAAAGACAGGTCAGAGTCAGGGTTCAGTAAGTACCCCTCAATGTAAAACTGAAAAAGCCAAAATGACTGATTTGCTTATGCCACTGCATAGAAAAAGAAGTAGGTGCATCAGAATGCAACATCGGAGAGAAACTGGGATGCTCTGCACCTATTCTATTCTGGGGTCAGGAGCACCCTGATTATATTCTATTTTGTACATAAGATACACACTTAGTAACTTCCAAAATAAGGGCAGGGTGCTACTAAAACCCACTGTGCAATGGGGGAAAGAGGGTCTTCAAGAAAGTGACACATTGCACAAGGGGCCAGAGGGCCTACAACTTGTATTCCACCAAGCTGTAGAAAGTTCCAGACAAAAGGTACGAATGCATGAGCTGTTTGAGTGAAGATGTTAATTCATATTTAATCTCCTGGATATTGCCTCATCTTCTAAGTCTTGTCCCACCCCTGTTACTTCTGCACAGAACTCCCAAAAGAATGACCCTAAACTCTCCTTATCTACTCATGGGCTTCTCAGGGCATTTAGAGCTCGCAGTGCCAACCTTGTTAACCCCGAATCAGCTTCCTGTCGGCTCTCCATCACACCATGGATACACCAGGACCCTGGTAACTGTTTCCAAAGGGCATTCTCCCTTCCAGGCTTGGCTGCTGCAGCCCCCCTACTTGGGCTCTGGAGTGCTCTAGCCTTTCACTGGTTCTGGTCAGAAGTCACCCCTGTGTGCAGTCAAACACAGGCCTGCTCTGCTCCATCTTCAAATAGTTTCCAGAGGGGACAAATGAGAAAGAAAAAAAGCCAGCTAGTCTTTATAAAGCCACTGTCTGGGAGTCTCCAGGGCTGCACAGGGCTGGAGAGGGAGATGAAAGGTGAGGGTGGGTGTGTTATTCAGGATTAGGACTACTGTCATTAGACAGGCAGGCAGGCATGCACATGCACACTACACACACCACACAGACTAGCACATACCACACACCACACCACACACACTAATACACACCATACACACCCCACACCTACACACACCACACAATCATACTCCACATGTACACACACCACACACACTAACACACAACACACACACTATACATACATACACCACACACACTAGCATACACCACACATATACACACCACCTACATTAACACATACACCACACACTAACACTCACCACACATACACACACTAGCACATGCCACACACGCTAAACACCCTAGCACACATCACACACACTAGCACTCACCAAACACACACCACACACACTAGCACACACCACGTATACACCAACACATTAACACACACCATACACACTGCACATACATACACCACATACACCACACAAAACACAACAAACATACATATAACACAATCAGACATATACACCACACACTGATACACTGCATGTATACACACCACACATATACATACCACACACACTGACACACTCCACACATATGCAAAACATATATACGTACAACACACACTCATATAAATATCATATAAAATACATACAACACATACACACACATTACATGCTCCCATCTTGTTTTCTGCTAAAGCACAGGCAGGGAGCACAGCAGCTGGAAGGATTAAAGGCTCAGCTGCTAAGAAAGGCTGACTTCCTGGTAATGCCACCACACCTCAGCCAGGGAAGAGGAGCAGCACAGCAGGAGAGAGATGGCAAGAGGCCTGTGAAGAGCTATGAATAAACAGTTTCAAATTCTCTCTGGGAAAAAGCAGGGGAAGGCAAATCCCAAGTGAAATGCAGCCCCACTCACTGCTGCGAAGCTGGAAGTGCCAATTAAGCTAGGCAGCACCTAGAGCTACGTGTCCAGATTTCTTCACTTCTTTTTTTTTTTTTAAGATTTTATTTATTTATTTGACAGAGAGAGAGAGAGATCACAAGTAGGCAGAGAGGCAGGCAGAGGGAGAGGGGGAAGCAGGCTCCCCGCTGAGCAGAGAGCCCAACGCGGGGCTCGATCCCAGGACCCTGAGACCATGACCTGAGCCAAAGGCAGAGGCTTAACCCACTGAGCCACCCAGGCGCCCCAGATTTCTTCACTTCTTGCTCCAAAGTGTCGGTCCCTCTCACATTGAGAAGTAAATGTTAATACTAAAATCTCACTACTTAGGAAACACTAGATAATACAAGTCAAGGCAGAAGAGAGGTTGTGGGACCTCACCTGTTAACCTCACTGGGTAGCAGGAGCAGCTGGGGCAGCTCCTGGGACTGCCAGCATAAAACCCAAGCCAGTTCTCTAGGACCAGGAGCTGCATTGGCATAAAATGCATATTTATTTAAAATGCTGGTTATCAGACCTAATTTCTGGGGACCGGGCCCATTAATCTGCATTTTTAACACTCTTCCCGGGTGATTGATTCTCAAGACAACTGAAGTTTGAGAACCAGCACTGGTCCTGAGTACTCACTCACCTAGCTTATTCAGGCCACTTTCCAAAGACATCTTTGGTTTCTCAAATACAACTGCAAGACAACAGATGCAAGGAAGAGTGCCCCAAATGCCCTTCTTATAGTGCATTAAACTGATCGATCCCAGCTGCTGTGGAATGGTCTGATTTGCTCATCTCTGTGCCCGCCAGAGCCAGGCACACAGTAGGCACTTGATAAAGGGTTGCTGAAATCAAACGGTGAGGGGTAGAGAGAGAACTGACCTGAAATAATCCTTTATACCCATTTCAAAATTGTATGGAACATTTATTAGCAGTCCCATAGCCTCTGGAAGGGAGGTGTTGGAGTGTCTGTAGCTATTCCCACAATATAGGCAGCAGACTGTGTCTTTACTGGCTTTGCCCATGGCAGAGCAACTGGTCTACCATTCTGGGGCCATGCCTTCTGCTGGGAACCCCAACTTTGCAGGGCCTTGCGAACTGCTTCCTCAGGGGCTAGCTCCTCACACAGGCACCAGACCAGTCAATAAAGGCAATCTCACCATTTTTTTTTGACTTATGGGGTACCGGTTCCTGGTTTCCATTCCAAATGCATTGAGTTCAAGCTGGGAAGGTGGCCCGAGAATGTGAATTTTGAGCAAATACTTCACATGATTCTGAGCTTGGAGTCCAGAGAATGGCATTTCCACAGTTTAAAAGCAAATATGGTGACCATCTAGCTTCATTTCTCCTTCTTTCAAAAGGATCTTTGTATTGAATGTTTGTCAGCTGCGATTTCGGGGGTGGGGGAATGGACTGCTCAACTTCTGAGCCTACCTTTGTGAGTCTTGTAGGCAGAACTTCTGTATTTTATTGTGAGGACAGCCGAGGTGCCCAAACTGTGGTCTGGGGGGTGCCTCAAACCCACCAAGCGGATGTCTATTCCTGAGCTTGTCAATGAGGGGCACACTCAAGCAGAGGCAGTCTCTAACTCCTTCTAGCAATGATGGCACAGTGCCAGCAGCCATAGCCAGAGTCTTGCGGTGGCAGCCGTGGCCACACACCAGTTGAGGGTCCTGTTGCATGTCCTGCATGAGCTCCTGAGCCTAGCTGGCCAGTCTTCCTGTCACTAATACCCAGGCCTTTTTCTGCTAAAATTACCCAGAGTTGGCTTCTATCATTTGTAACAAACCATCCTGACCCTTAACAAATCTGAGATAGCTCTTGGTCCCCTGCAAAACATTTATCCTTCATATTTTAAACAATGCCAATAAAATAATACTTGGTTTCAAGTCTTATTCCTTTGACCTGTCCTTTGATGCACTTGTTTACTTCACTGTGCTGGAATGCACAGAATAGTCCGGTGTGGAAATCATAAGGAAGTTCATTTAAAAAAAATTATGGGGACATATCAAGGAAGCAAAACGAAACTAAAGGACGTTGCTGAAGTGACAAGAGGCCACACATTTGAGACAGGGCAGGAGTCTCCTGTCCCACTCACTAGTCCAGTGACTTGAGCAGTTGCTTATATTCTCCCTGCTTTCCTTTGCTTGTCTGTAAAGTGGGGTTTTGAATAACGCTGGAGGGTTAGACAGGAGTAGGTACAGCACCAGGCAGACAGCTGGAGGTCAATAAAGGACCTGAACCGCCTGCCATTGCCAGCATCAGTCCTCCACGCTCCACCGTGGCCCTGGGCTCACCTTGACAGACAGGACAGCTCCAGAGGATACTCACCAAAAAAGGAAGAAAGAAAAAGTAGTAACTTCACACAGTGCGAATCCACTGCGATTCCCATACTCGTTTTTGAGCCACAAAAAAACAGCAGCCGGGTAAGGTTCAACCCAACATACAAAGGCAGATGTTTGAGTCTCCAGTGGGGCGTTCAAGGACGACCCCCCACCTCCTCCCATCATTCACCTGTGTGTCTTAACGAAGGTCAGCCGCTGCCCACAGGCACCGTGGAAAACCTTTCTGGATCGGACCCTGGGCGGGAGAGAGGTCAGCAACCGCCTGGGGTTAAGGCTCAACCTGTTGCTGCAGGAAGCTTGGGGCGCCGGCTTTCCCCAGGCTTTCCCTCCCACCCACCGCCAGGCCGGGCTCCTTCCTGCCCTCTCTCCCTCCTCCGCAGGAGGCTCTCCCGGGCTGCGGGACACAAAAGAATGAGCGGCTGGGCGGGCGCGGGAAGCGAGGAGACTCGAGGAATCCGCCACCGCCTGGGGGAGGGGGTTGCCGGAGTAACTTGGCTGCCCCGAGACGCCCGCGAGGGATCCCCGCCACAGCCTCCGGAGGCTGCATCGGGGTCGCCAGGGAGAAGGAGGACCGAAGTGGTGTGCCACCCCCTCGAATCCCCTCCCCCTCTCGGAACGGGCTTTCAGGGAAACTGACCTGGGGCCCCCGCCTCTCCCGCACCTCGAAGCTTCTTCGTCTGTCCACGCTTCCCTTTGTTGTCCCAGCCGGCGCCGAACCGGCGAGGTGCGTCCAGGGCACTCAGCTCTCCACCCGGCAATTACCGTAGGTCCCCTAACTGTGCACACAAGGGGGTGGGGGCTGCGTCAAACCAAGGATGCGTGCGCTCTCCCATAGACGTGGGGACACTGCCTCCAGTGGCTCCCCCCGGACCCCCCTCCTGCTATGGTCTATTGCACCGCGTACTCCATTTGGAAAACCAGGGAGAGGTGACCCCTTTACATCCCTGCAGGGGAGGCTCAGTGCCTCGTGCCCCCAGGGCACCCCCAGCACTCCCCTCCTCGCAGAACAGTTCTCAAGCCCCTGACGAGTCTCCCCCTCTCCGAGAGTAAGCCCGCGGCTTCGGGGGTCCCGGTCCCGCTTGCTTGTGTCCTGGTACCTGGCAAGCCACAGCCACCGGTTCTCCTCCTGTGGCTGGAAAAAAGACCCACCGCGCAGACACCAGGCAGCGGGCAAAGTTTGCGCGCGTCCGCGCCCTGCCCGGAACTCCCGCTGGCGGGGCGCCCGGACCACCTCGCCCACTTTGCAGTCCCCTGGCTCCCAGGCCGCTCTCAGGGCTCGTTACTACCTGCCCCGGGGCCAGGGGACGGGGCGCGGAGGGCCGGGAGGAGAGCGGCACAGAGCGAGCCCCTCCGTTCCCGATTTCCCGCCCCCAGCCTTCTGAGGCGGGTGTGCTCATGCCCCCGCAGTCTCCGCTGACCCCCACAGGCTCCGGGATGAGGACGCCGCTACTCACCGTGCGCCGGGTCCAGCTCCAGTTTCGGGCCCCGCTGCCGCCCGCCCTCCCCTTGCAACGGCGCTCGCCCAACTCGTCCGGCTCATGAATGATTTATGAGCCGCGTCGGGGACCACCGGGACGGCTTCCGGAGAGGCGGCCCTGCAGCCCCGCGGGGCGCGGCGGGCCGGGAAAGGCGCCGGCCCTGGAGGCGCGTGCTAGGCCCGCCTGGGGTGCCAGCGGGGACCTGTTGCGGCCTCCTCTGCTCCCGGGCGGGGACTTGCAAACGGAGCCTCCGGAATGGCAATGCTACTTAAGTCAACTCACCCCCAGCCGGAGAGCTGAGCACGCGGCCAGGTGCCCACCTGGGACCCGGTCTGTATTTTAAAGAAAGCTAAGCCGGGGGTTCTGGATGCGCTCCCGACTGGACGGGCGAGGCAGCTTCCCGGTGACGCCCGGAGGTACCCACCCGGCCTGGGCTGCATGTATTTCCTGAGGCAGGAGTCCGGCTCACGCCAGCACGCCCTTTTTACCGCACCCGCGTCTCCCTCACCTAGGCAGAGCTCTCTACTTGGAATGCCGTTCCCCTTCTAAAAACTCCTCCTCTCGCTGGTTCCAACCCAGACAGGCCTTGGTGAACCCCGCCGCCCCCAGCTGCTTTAGAGCTTCTATTGCCGGGTCCCAAGAGACTTACTATTTTTTAATTCACCCAAACAAAACCAAACCCAAATAATTTGGTTCCTTTGTATATTATGTACCAATCACCATGCTCGTGGCTGGAGCTGTAAAACCTGCAGAAATCAATCCTTGCCCCCACGTATAGGTACAGGCTTCCACTGTAGTCTGAAGCACAACGCGCTTTAATTATTTGGTTCAGATGTGGGCCGAGAGTCCCCTGTCATCCCATCTTCACCTCTCTGCCAAGCTGCCAAGCTGAGATGGTGGAAACCATCCATAAGTACTCACTCCATCTCCTATCCTAACTTCATGCACCAATGTGCCCCTTGCACCTGGCTCACCACTTCCAGTGGTGGAGCGGTTGAATGGAGAATACTGTCTGTGGAAAACGTAAGACTTACAGAAGAAGAGCACAGTCAGGATGGTGTCTAGCGCTCGGCTGGCATTTCACGTTTGTGATGCGGAGGGATGGATGGACAGGTGGATGGGTTGGACTGTTGGACAGGACAATTTCCACCAAGGTTCTTCACTAACCCCAGAATCTAGCATAAAACCTGTGCTGGAAGGAGCATTGTTTAGAGTTTAAATTGATCTTGTATGTGCATACTTCTAGGACAATGCCAGGTCAGGAAACTTCTGAAAAGGGCACTAGAGGCACGGCAAATTTAGGTGGTCGTATAATCAGGCCTGATGTTTCCTCCCTGAAGCCCCTGCTGGTCAGGGGCCTCTGCTTCTGCACTGGCAGAGGTCCCCAGCACTTCTCCAAGGCAGCCCTCTGAGGACTCTGGAGAGGTTACTCCTTCCCTTCTGATAGCAGTCAAGTCAACTTGCATCAAATGTTGACCCTGCCCCTTTTTATCACTGTGACTTTGACTCCTTAGCCTCCTTGAGCCTGTTTCCTTGTCTGCAAAGTAAAGACTGTTATGCCTCCCAGGGCTCCTGTTTATTCTTAGTAATAATAATAAAAATAACAATGACAACAGTAGTAGGAGTGAGCACTAACACTCAGTGAATGCTTCCTCTGAATGAGGCACTATGCCCAGAGCTTTAAGTGCATGGTTTTGTGTTATCGTAGCAACAAAGACAGCATATTATCTCCATCTTAAAGATAAGGCTAAAAACATGTTCAGTCTTTTGCCTAAGGTCCCAGAGGTAGTAAGCAAAGTGCTGAATTTGAACCCAGATCTGGCTCCAGAGCCCATTATTGCCCAAGCACACCAGAGTACCGGGAGATAACATAAAACCCTCTGTCCTGCACCCCCTGATTGACAATGTCGTGTCGTACTCCAGCATCACATTGAAATGATTGGCCATCTGTCTTCCTGTAGGCACCGAATGCTTCAACTGTTTTTATCCATTTTCATATGCCTCCCTCCCTCCAGCACCTACTCTATGTGGACCATTGGGGGTTTCAATAAGTGAATGACTGAATAATAAACAGAACACAATATTAAGATCTGTTCTGAGCAGCCTTAGGCAGACAGCAACATAGGACTTAATGATTTATTCTGTTCAATTCAGCTTGGAGTTCTAATGCTACAGTCCTGCTATCTAGCACAACTGAATTCCTCTGTCATCTGTTACATGCGACTGGAGGATGTAATATTATTCCTATATATCCATTCAGTCGTCAGGTGCAAAACTTAGGTCTTCTTTCTGAAATCGCTCCTCATTTTTCCTGCCCAAATGAAATCTAAACACGAGGCAGCCTGACATCCTAGGGAGAGCAGGGACATTCATTCAGATGCTGTCACTAACTGGCAGTGTGGTCCCTGGCAAGTCCTGTAACCCCCATGGGCTTCACATTTCCATAGGTCCAATAGCCTTGCTCAGGGACTGGATATGGCTAGAGGCTACCATTTTGGATCCTGCAGATATGGGATATTGTCATCAACACAGGAAGGTCTATTAGATAGTGCTGGTTTAAATAGTGAACCATAATAAGGGGAAAATGACAGCAGGACTGGGGTAAGTAACTGAAGTTTCCACAGAAATTATCAGGGTGATGGAGCATTAGAAATGAAGTGTTGAGATTAATCATTGTCAGAGTATACAACACTGGATCATTCAACAATCCTCAGTCTTTGACAAGCCATTCCTTATGAAGGACTTTGGATAGTCTTCTCTGAACCACTAAGACTAAAACAAAATAGGTGAGTGAATATATTATTCTAATTAACCTGACATTTTCTACCATGAATAACTAGGCCCCCCACTCCCCACCAAAATATGTGCTTGTATGACCAACAAACATGGCAGCATGTGACCCTTTAGGAAATCACATTTGTATTATCTCAGAATGGGCTGCCCTGCCTTCTTAAGTCTGAAACTTGTGTAAGAGACAGCTCAGGAGAGAGGGAAAAGTTAAGCAAGGGGCGAGGGGAGAGAGAGTGTTTGTTCCAAATTGAAATTCCACTAGTTTTCAAGGGAAAGGCTTCATGCAAGCCAGGGTTCGCCTATAAACGTTTTACCTCATGCTTTCCTGTTCTTCTTGCTTTTTCTCCCCTTGCCTCTGGGCTTAGAAACCACACATAGCTTTGCTGATGTTTACTAACCAGAAGCCAAAAAAACATGTTTCTTGTAGTTCAACAACCATTGGGTAAGATTTGTAACTCATTCATCAAGCCCACTGTGTAGTAATTCAAAGGTGGAGGAAAAAAATTTCAAACCAGTTTGGACAAAAAGGAGAAAAGACAGAGCAGGGGCCAGACCAGGGCCAAGGGCAGTACCTCTGTGCCTGGATTCCGAACCTGGGAGGTTGGAAAACCCCATCACACTTACTGGAGGCTGGTGCAGGGTGGTTTTATATTTTATGTGCTGGATCTGCCTTCTAGTAATGGTTTCAAATAAATGCTTCATCTCTAGGGCTGGCTTTCATCTGCACCTTTCCTTCTGACATCATTTTTAATATACACTAACTCAAACAGGGCTTCCTAATTTGCCTTTGGTGACTGCATGGGGAAAAATGAGAGCAGCAGAAGGAAAGGGAGTTATAAAGCGTTAGGATACTTGATCTCATTTTCTCAAGGAGGGTGAGGTTCTTTCCTCTAAATGTTTGGGTTGAGATTGAGGAGGGAGGGAGGCAGGAAAGTTCCACAATTTCTAGTTCTATAGTCATCGGTTTTTAAATCATATTTAAAGGCTCACCCAGGAACTTGCAATATATACAATATTGAAACTTACGATTCCACTAAGAAATGTTTTACCCCTCTGGGAATGATTGCCATTATTACTTCCTTCTAAGAATTTGCACTTATCCTCTTCTCATTATCTGAAAGCATGTATTAGCCATCTGTTAGTCATCCATTCAGTAATATTGATGCAGCCCCTACTACAGAGGTCAGGAGCTAAAGAGCCCAGTTACTCTGACCCAGAATATACTCAGGGGAAAACAAGAAAACTTATCAAATATTGTCTTTCCTCTTATTTACCCCTTGCCTATTTTCCTCATCATAAGACTTTTTTTTTTTTTTAAAGAATTCTCCTTTGCTTCATACTCTGTCTGCTACTTAAGCTATAATCAGATATGTATTTTAGGCACAATAAACTATCTGTTAATTAAAACACTCACTTTGTCCAGAGCAACTAAAATGTTAAATTATAGCCCCATCCAACATTGAGGGCATTATGCCAAGCAAAATAAGTCAGAGAAGAGAAAAACAAATTCTGTATGATCTCACTTACATGTGGAATCTAGTAAAACCAATTCACAGAAACAGAGGTCAGATTTGCGGTGGCCAGGGGCGGGGGCTGCGTGTGGGGGGAAGAGGGTGAAGGTGGTCAAAAGGCACAAACTTTCACTTGTAAGATAAATAAGTCCAGGGGATGTGATGTGCAGTATGGTGGTTCTAGTTAACAATACTCTATTGTGTATTTGAAAGTCGCCAAGCAAATAGACCTTAAAAGTTCTCATTACAGAGAAAAAAAAATTTCTCAGTAAAACTGGAAAGCATGAAATAAAATAAAAACTATGAAATACGATATAAAGAATTGTAGTTCCATTTAGCTACTTATTCCACAGGATGAAGAAGGAACAGTGATCTGTTGTTGTGTGGTGGGGGAGGCATGGGATGTGGAACTTGAGCAGATGGGAAGAGAGTCCTTGCTCTGCTCATTCATTCATTCATTCATTCACTCACTCACTCATTCATTCTTTCCTACATTGCTTAGCCACGCATTCCACAGGTATTGACTGAGCACCTTCTGTGGGCCAGACTGAGCAGCGAAACAGCAGAGAATAAAACAAAGGGGTAAGCCCTCGCCCTCCCAGAGCTCGCTCTCTTATAGGGAACACGAAGCGTGAAAGCCATCAAATCCATACTCATATTCGCTATATACCCTTGAATAAGCTACTTAACCTCTGTAACTTCGGTGTCCTCACCCACAAAATAGAGGTTGTGCAAAGCTTAAATGAGCCAGCGTATGCAACATGCCTGGCACGGAGTTAGCGACAAATGTCAACTCTTATATATGCTTTTTCTATTTCTTTGCCAAACTCTCTCTCACCCTCGGCCCCCACCCCTCTTTTTATTTCCAATCTCATAGATTAGGAGTGTGGGGCTGTTGGAACCGCAAGTTAAATCTGCTTCCCACAGATACTTACAAATTACGCCCTAGGGATTTGCAAGGATCCAAGTCAGAAAAAACGGATTCAGCACATATTCTGGTATCTGCCCTGTAGAAAAATTGTCCAACACTTGGAAATGAGCAAAGGAGACTGGCATTTTTTTTTTCAGAGGGAGGGGCATGTCTAAGGGACCCTCAGGGAATTACTGGATTCTATAGAGGCATGTATCTGTCATTGTGTTTCTATCAACTAGGCTGTATCACAAATCTGTGAGGATAGAAATGAAATTGTAGAACACTGATGACAATGCAAATGAACGTTCTCCATGAAAGATAATTTCATTTCTACGCTGTAGAAAAGATGACCCCAAACATTTCAGTACCCTATAGGCTGGTGACAGGCTTTGCAACTGCTGGCAAATAATCATTTTGGCATTACCAATTGTGTATATAAATGTCTGCTTTTCAAAGTGTCCTCTGAACAGGTCCCAACATCTTACTGGTTCTCTCATTAATTACTGAGCTGAGTAAAACCTTTGACATGTGTCCCCTATATATTTACATGCAATGTTTTTAATTCCTTGAACATTATAATTTGGAAACCCTAATGGAGCTTATGACTTATAGGGAGACAAATAGCAAATTTTAACATGAGTTAATTTTGTTAATGAAAACTTCAATAAATGCTGGAAAGGTGAAATTCTAAACCTTTGTATAGATTCTATTAGTATAACAACAGCCCATTCACTGGGACAAAGATGCTGTAAGCGGCACCCCAAAGTTCCTGCCAACTTCTCCCCCAAAGCCTCCCTGCAACAGCCCCATTTAGAGCAATCTTTGACCCAAGTGCCAAGAAACTGCTAAGGACAAAGGGAAAGCTTTCAAAAAGTTAGATCACAATAAACTCTCTCTTTTTTTTAAAAATATTTATTTATTTATTTGACAGACAGAGATTACAAGGAGGCAGAGAGGCAGGCAGAGAGAGAGGAGGAGGCAGGCAGAGAGAGAGGAGGAAGCAGGCAGAGAGAGAGAGGAGGAAGCAGGCTCCCTGCTGAGCAGAGAGCCAGATGCGGGGCTCGATCCCAGGACCCTGGGATCATGACCCGAGCCGAGGGCAGAGGCTTTAACCCACTGAGCCACCCAGATGCCCCACAATAAACTCTTTTTAAATGCTGCAAACCCAGGGGCACCTGGGTGGCTCAGTGGGTTGAAGCCTCTGCTTTCAGCTCAGGTCATGATCCCAGGGTCCTGGGATCAAGCCCCACATTGGGCTCTCTGCTCAGCAGGGAGCCTGCTTCCCTCCTCTCTCTCTCTGTCTACTTGTGATCTCTCTCTGTCAAATAAATAAATAAAATCTTTGAGAAAAAAAGGCTGCAAATCCAGAATGATTTGTTTTTTAAATAATAAGTTTAAGGTGGACTTTAAGACCATATGTATAAATGTGGTTCTTGGCTCCATTCTCCGAATTCAAGTGGACACCTCCCCCACGAAAGATGGGGGCATGAGGAGGAAGGATGAGTTTGGTGGAGTATGTGTGCAGGAACTGTGCTCGGAGATGGGCTAATCCCTTCCAATAACCTGGGTGAAACCTGGGAGAAAATTCCAGAGTCATTTTCATTATGGAAGGAGGAAAAACTTACAAATGAAGTGAGAAAATTATTCTAGATCATGGTGTGTTTTTTTGTTTTGTTTGTTTTTATTTATTTTTGTTTTTGTTTTTTAAATTGGGCACTCTCGACATTTTGAGCTGGATAATTCTTTGTCTCAGGTGGTCCTGGGCATGCGGGGTGCTCAACAGCACCTCTGACTTCTACCCACCGGATAGACGTAACTCCCCCTCCCAGTTGTGACCACCAAAAAGATTCAAAACCTGGAGTTTTGTTTTGTTTTTAAGCTGGGGGAAAACTATTGAGTTTGGGCAGATTTTATCAGATATATTTAAAGAGGGACTTCTTGGTATCAGATTTGGCAAATGCTAAGAATTTTGGATATAAACTGAAACATATCCATCACCCAAGCCACTTGACCCATTCATGTTAGGTACCTGGCCCTGGGGAGCCAGCCCTCACATTGACTCCGCATCACCCCCAATGAGAGAATTGCAAACTGAGTTATATCAGGAAAGTAAATTGCCTATTTTTATGCCTCCTGGAGATATTCACAATGTCCTGTGCTGGATGCTGGGTGCTGGGTGCTGGGTGCTTGTTCTGAGTATAACCTATAGCCCCTGGAGAAACTCGACAGTTTTCCTAGAACTTTGAGCAGAGAAGCATTAAAAAAAAAAAAAAAAGATAGGATTGTTAATATTTCCCAAGACCTAATGAAAAAGTGCCTGGCATATTCCAGGACCTCAACAGATCCCAGAGAAAAACAGGGGAATAACGTGAAGCTCGAACCTCATAAGGAGGCAAAAAAATGTAGCAGCAGTGAGACGGTGCTGCAAGGTAGGAAAAGTAGGTCCGGTCTGTGTGCTTGTGGCTGGCATTTATTAGCTATCTGCTATCTGTCAAGCACAGAGCACCGTACTTTCCATACATTCCCTTATTTGATTAACCCTCCTAAAGGAGCATTGTTACTCCCATTTTCCAGAGAAGGAAACAGGCTCAACGCCCGGGGCAGTATTTTGTTGGTTTCATAATAAGAATAAAAGTTACCATTTACCAGGGTAACCGTTACTCTAAATATCTCATTTAATATTTAAGGTAATTGTAGGAAGCAGGTATTATCCAAGCAAATCAAACAAAAGTCTGTTGCCCATTTGTTACGTGTCAGGATGGTGCTAGGTGGTAGGCACACAGTGGCAGACAGGCTCTGCCCCCACCAAGTGTACAGTATAGGAGGGAAAACAGACACTCACAAATGCATACGGGTGGGATGATTCCTTTCACAGTCCCGACTTCTGCCTCCGTGCAGTGAGCTCCAACGCAAGAATTCAGAGGGCAGCCGTCAGACCTAGGACTGGAAGTAAGCGAGCTTTTAATAAGCACTAATCTGTGTCAGTCAAGATCTGTCCTTGGAACTTGGGGACACAGAGGTGACTTCAGCCCTATCCCAGTGAGAAACTCTTGGCGTGGACCTGGCTGGCTGTATACTGTCGTTGCACTGTTCAACTCTATTAAATGGCAAAGTAACAGTGGGGGTAGATAAATAATTTTACAAGAAACTGTAAGAGGAATGAACAACACAATCCTGGATCTGTTGGATTCCAAAAAAGCAATGCTGATAAACCTGGAGAAGCAGGGCCATGGAAAAACTGAGCCGAGGTTAGGGGTTTCTAGAGCTGAACTGGGACAAAAGAATTACCAACTTGCAGAAAAAACAAACATTCGTATGCACGTCATTCTGCAGAATGTTTCAGAAGCCACCTAATGGTAAAAGTGCTAAAATGCATAAAACCAAAAAGAGGAAAAATTAAAGTTGAATCCTAAGGAAAAAAATCCCCTGGTAAAGAGCCCTATAGATGCAAGGAATACTAATGAAAATTGCAAGCATGCACCGAAGTAAAATTTAAGTCAGTAAAATTACTGAAGCCGAGTAATAGGTATCAGGGGTTCTATTTCACACCAGTTTGGGAAATTTTCCACTATAAAAAAGGTTAAAGAAAAAGAAAGAAAGAAAAGAAAAGAAAGAAAGAAACAACCAAGTCAATCAATGGCTGGGGGAAATAGAAAGTGGAACTGGGTTCTGTCCTTGAGCTGCGGTGAGGTCAGCATGGTTGCTCCGGGTGAGGCCGAAGGGCTGAGTTGAATGCGGGGTAGAAGACCGGTCAGCAGGCAAGGAGAGTGCTCTGTCTTGTCTTGGCCGCTTTCATCACATTAGTTCTTATGGAAGGACAATGGCAAATGCCTGGGAAGTTTAATAAACAAGAGCCAGCTCCCTCTTGGTTGTGGACCGGAGAGTAACATGGATTCTGGGATCACAGACTATGGAACAGATCCGCCTAGGTTGGAGTCTGGCTCTGGCGCCCCTAACTCCATGTGCCACCTTGGCCAGATTACCTAACACCTGTGAGCCTCAGTCCCCCTCACCTGTAGAGTTAACACCAGTAGTGGCTCTGGGTTTTGAGAACATTAAATGAGATACGCTATATACTGAAGGGTTCCAGGGAGAGCTGGTTCTTTCCTCCTGATCATTGCACCTCTGATTATTTACGGCAGGACAGTGATCCTTCTTTAGGCTCTACCTTGCTTTCTCACATCTCACAGGTCTGAGGCTGGTTGCATTAATCGAAGAAAGGGATATCAGAAAGACATTGGAGCTATACATTATAGGATGGCTCTGACATCCCAAACCCCAACCCCTACCCCAAGAAGGCAGCTCTTCACTTAATCTGTACTAGAAGGTATAAGAGGGTCACACTATCTCCACAGCCATCACCACCATGGAAAACAATCCGAATGTGTCCTACTGGCCTCCACATGCACTACTACAACCAGAACACTTGTTTGAAAGCAAAACCTATTTAGTATTCTTCCTTTTGCCAGAGTTTTCTATCTCAATAGTCCTACACAGTCTCCCAAGAAATTCAACCTTACCTGTATTTATTATTTGTCATTTGTAGAGTTGTCCAACTCAAAAGCCCTTTTCTGGGTGACACAGACACCCTTTTGTGGGGAGTACTAGTGAGCCAATCCAACATCTTCCACCACAAAAGTCAAACATTATCTTCTGTTGACCTGTCATGCACTCAAGGGATGGTCCTACCCAGGTCTGGCCAGTTGGGCCACTCCTGCCCCTGACTTAGATTCTGGAGTGTATGTGATGTGGCAAATAGGGCCAATCAGACCAAGGGAAGGTAGCAGTGATGGCGCTGTGGAGGGCGACAGGTGCCAACAGCCACATCCTAGCCAGACGGTGTGCACTGCCCTTGGATCTGCTTCTGCTCTCCAACCTCCTGACCAGACCAGGAGCCATCTGACGTGCTTCCAGTATATTCCTTCTCTGGCTAAGATTGGCCAGAGTTGCTTCCTGTTAATGCCTGATTGATGAAAATGCTCCTTCTACCATCTCCTTTGCCTTCCCTTTCCTCTCCAGTCCATGTCTTTCTTGCCAGTCCCATGGTGACAGTGCTAACTCAGCCACTCTGCATGTATGCTGGAAGTCTCTGCCTTTGAGCCAATTGCTTAGGTGAGGACTTGGGGAAGGTAATCGAATGAGTCCTAAGGTTCAGGATCAGATCCCATCTTTACTTAACATGTTGATTTTGTTCCTCCATGGAGTTGGGGCATAGCTATGAATTTTTTAAATATTGCATTACAGTATGATTTAAGTATCTTAATTAATGAACTTTTGGGCACCTACTAATATTTTGTGCTGGCCCTTGCATGGCTCTGTGCAATACTGGTCAGGACCAGAGCCCACCCACACATTTCCTTTCATTCACTAAACAAGTTTTTCAGGGCTCTGCTCTGCACCTGATTACACTAGGCTTTAAGCACACAGAGATGATTAACACCAAGTCCAGCCCTCAAAAATGTCACCATCTCATGGGGGAAACAAATAAGGGGCATTTTGAATTCTAGGTGCACCAACAGAGGGAGAGGTCAAGATAGGTATGGCCACGAAAATAGCAACAATAAATATGAGTCCAGCCCTGAGGGGAGCAAGAAAATGCTCCCATGGGCTGTTGGTGCCAATCCTTTAGAATGAGATGTTCACCAGCTAGAGAACTAGAAGCACATTCTGAGCAGAGGAACGAGCATAGCCAGGTATGTTCAGATTCAGTTCATGATACGGTGGTGCTGGATTGTAATGTGCCTGGAACATGGTCTTAGAGAAAAGGAATAAAGAGATGAGTCTAGACCAGGAGAGTGGAAGAGGTCAGGCTGTGAAGAAGCGTGGATGCTGTGCCAAGGGATCATTTCAGACGGTGTTAAGAACTATGGAGAAAACCAAACCGAGTGAAGTAATGGGCCAAGGAGACGTGGGGGTAGTTTTTCCGAAGTCCTGTCAAGATTTTAACTTAGGTGGAAATCTCTTCGGCCCTGGGGACTGCGGGCCAATGCTCCATGCTACCTGGGGTCGGGAACTGGGAGTGCTGGACCTGGTCCTCCCTGCGGCCAGAGCATGGACTTAGGGAGCTACCTCCTGCCTCTGGGCTCCCACTTCCTCCTCCAAGAGAGCAATCTCTGAGATTCTTCCCAGGGTCTGACACTCTGTGATTCATGGTTCTCCACAAGCTCAGCACCATGTCCAAGCCACGTTGTGATTTGTAGGGAGTTTCATATTTTCACTTGGGAGATGGCCATTAAATGGCTTGTTAGTACACACGCTGTCCTGCTACTCTGCAGCTCCCTTCAGTCAACCCATCCTGAGTTTTAAACCGAAGCCAGGACACCCGTGGTGGGCCTCGGTGTCAGTGTCTGGATATCATTAAGAGGTTTCTAAGAGCTTATCCTGCGCTTCCCGTCTTTGCTGCTTCTTGAGTCGGCTTGCACTTGGGTCCAGCCTTCTCGACACCCCTCAGAGCGCCTCATGCCAGAGATGACCTTGATCGTGGTGTTTCAAAGACATTTAGGATAAGCGTGCACCCCGGGAGCCGCTGCTCTGCAGCGCAGGCTCTAGCTGCGCATTTGATGGGACAAGCGTGTTCCCTGCAGGGTCAGCTCTGGGTGAAAACGGGAAGTCGGTATGGGAGGAAAACTGCGGGCTTTGGAACCAAACAGACTACATGTATGCCTTATCGGGTGGTTTTGGCCTGTCCTCTGATCTCTCAGAATTCGTTTTGCCTCAGACAACATGGGAATAATGATGCCTGTTTTACGGTTATTACAAGGGTTTTGTGAAAGGACACGGTTGGTGCTCACAAATACTTCCTCCGGGCTTCCTCTTGGAGGCTGCATCTCCGTGTTATTCTTGGGGTGCTCTGCCCTCCTCTTTCTCCACCTGCCACCCCAGGTTTGCGATCTCTCCCTCTTCCTCTTTCTCCTTTTGTCCAGCATGCCCTCCCCCAGCCCCTGAGTCATTGAGACATTTGGGGAGCATCCCTTTCATCCTGGTGATAGCCTCTGTTAAAGGGCTGGACCACAGGACACCTGGGTGGCTCAGCTGGTTTAAACACCTGCCTTCGGCACAGGTCATGATCCCAGGACTCTGAGATAGAGCCCTGCATTGGGCTTCTTGCTCAGTGGGGAGTCAGCTTGTCTCTCTGCCTCCTGTTCTCCCTGTGGGTACTTGCACTCTCTTTCTGACAAATAAATAAATAAATAAATAAATCTTTAAAAAAGGGGGGGTCTGGGGGTCTCACTAGGTGCTCGTGACACCCTGCTGTGTGTCTCTGGTGCCCCTGTGAGGCCCAGGCTGTGGTCAGAGAGCCGGGAGCCCAAGTCTGGGCAGCACCTGGGGGTCACAGTCCCTCCCCTTCTGCTCTCAGGGAGGCTGGGCAGGCTGGGAGCTGCCTGCCTCACCCCCATCACTGCCATTTCCTGGTGTCTAGGAGGATTGTCTACACCTTTTAAGGTGTCCAGGGACTTGGGGGCACCTCTGTTCTTGATGCGACCTTCTGTTGAAGGGACCCCAAGCTAGCACTGCCCATCTTTCTCCTGAGGACAATTGGGGAAATGCTCCTTTTGTTTTTGCCCATCACTGCCCCTCTCCAGAGATGACAGACATGGGGCCTCAGGATACTGGCTAGGACCAAATGACAAGGAGGATTGAAGAACCAACACTCCAATCTCTGTCTGGGTCTGCTGCTCCATCTGGCTCATCTCTCGTCAAATCCTGCCCCAAGTTTGAGTTACCTCCTAGGAGCATGAGGTCTCGAACCTCCAGCCATTACCTCCAAGGACGTGTCTACCACCTCACCAGCCAGCCTGCACTCATCCCTTCCTAGTCCTGCAAATGCCTCCAGCCCCAGCAGCCGCCGCAGAGGATGACACCGGAGTCTCTGAGATTACGCGTCAGGCCTTTTAAATCACAAGGGTTCAATGCCGGGGTTTTGGAAGCAGACCACTGTGTATTTACTGCCCACATCCCCTGGACACCCTGGATCCCTCTGGGCTGGAGCTTCCAGGTCTGTGAGTCGTGACTAATACCAGCACATCACACGACGTCAGACTGTGAGGGCTCACAGAGTTAATACTTACCAAGAGCTTGCACGGGCTGACGTATATTATTCCTCAGCACCTGTGTGCTGAGCACCTGCTGTGTGCTGGCTGGGGTCTATCCTGATGTCATGGTGTCGGTCGGTGGCGGGGGTGAGTGATTCAATGTCAGGGCTGACTCAGAACCCTGCTTTGCCCGGGACACAGACGTCTCCGTCTTTTCAGGCAAGAGGAAGAAAGGAAGACTTGAAACACACCAAGCATGCCCTCCCTCCTCTCAGGACCAACACCGAGCTTGGGTTCCACTACTCCTGTTTCCCAGATGTGGTTGAAAGAATCCCTGGGCCTCTGACTTCAGACTCGACTGAAACTGTGGAGACCAACATTGCGGCAGAACCATTCCTGTCAATCAGAAGACCTCAGGAGATGCTTCACTCCAGGGTCTCCAAGCTCCTGGGCACCCGCTTTGCTCAGGATAGAGGAAGTAAAGACAGGGCTCCCAGAGAGCTCCTGCCCCACTGGTCCTCCAACTCTGGCCCACACATCACTGAGAGCTGGGCCTGGGTTCTCTCACTAAACCCACTGAATAAACCTGGGCCTTCCAGCCCATTGAGGTTTGCCTTAACATGCCCTAGAGTTCCAGGCACAATACCCATTTATATCTGCCTCCAAAATGCCCCAAATGGTGATTGTGGCCATTCTCCTGAGAGATGCTGGAACATCACCCAGCAAGGGCCTGCAGACTTCCAGGTGGCACCTTGCCCTCCCTTCCTGCACAGTGCCCCACAGATCTCCCCCCAGCTCTGCTTTCCTCGGACGCCCTTCACGTGTCCCGGTGCTAATGCAGAAGCAGCAGGAATCAGGAGACGAGAACTAGAGAATTAATAGAAGATGGGTACCGAGGGTCCTGGATTCCTCAGTTCAGGGTCTTTCTTTAACTCTCACAGTAGGGGACAAGATGATATTGGGGAAAGACCTCCATGGGCCCCTTCATTGTGGAATAGGGGCAGCATGGCGATGGAAAGTTGTGGGGCTTGGGCCCACTGGCTCCATGACTCAGCACAAGTGATTTGCTTTCTCTGAGCCTCAATTTCTGCTCCACAACACAGAGCAAGACAGGGCTGTGCATCTTACAAAGCTAGCTGCCCCCCCATAAAAGCCTATTTACAGTTTTGTTACCAGAAGCCCTCTCCGGAAGGACTTCCTGTCTGGGAACATAGTTTTCTGCCTGTGATGCACGGGGACCCTTGAATTTGCATGGATGCTGCCCAGGATCCCAAGACCAGTTTCAAGGACAGCAAATGCCTGATGTCAGTCACACGGAGTAGATTATTGAATACGAGTCCCACTTAAGAAAAAGCATCCTGTTCTCTACTCCAACACAACATTTAAAAAAGGAGGGCCTAAGAATAGCCGTGGTCTTGATGAGTGTTCAGGAAGCCAGCAAATCATAAAGATGTAGCCCAGACTGCCCCATTGTCCTCTTCTTGCACCTGGAGATGTTGAACTGAGCTGCACGCATGGTCTCCCCAAGTAAGAATACATTTCCCAGCCATCCTTGGAGCCAGCATGCTCATATGACTAATTCTGACCAAGCAGAATTATGTAGGAGTGATGTGTGCATTCTCAGGAAAAGGTCCTTAGAGGTTGTATTACTCAGGGCTTTCCAGAGAAACAGAACCAATAGGATATCTATATGGAGAGGTATTAGCAGGAATTGACTCACGTGGTTGTGTAGGCCAAGGAGTCCCACGATCTGCAGCCTGCAGGCTGCAGTCCCAGGAAAGCCAGTGGTGTAGTTCAGGCTTGTATCTGCAGGCCTGAGAACCAGAGGGACCAATGATGCAAATCCCAGTCCAAGAGCAGAAGAAGATGAAATGAAATATCCCAGCACAAGCGGGGGCGGGGAAAAAAGAAGAGAATTCCTTCTTCCTGGGCCTTTTGTTCTATTCTGGCTCTTGACAGATTGGCCAATGCTTAACCACATTGTGGAGGGCATGTTCCTTTAGTGAGTCCACTGATTCAAATGCTAATCTCATCTGGAAACACTCTCACAGACACACCCAGAAACAATATTTAATCTGGGCACTGGTGGCTAGTCAGGTTGACACCTATAATTAACCATCACAGAGGGAGAAGTTACCTCTTTCGTTTCTTCCTTATACCGGCTGGCCAGAATTTGCACTGATGGCTGGAATCCAGCAGCCATATTGGGCCATGAGTTGACCTTGAAAATTAAGAAGCCACACATAGCCCGGCAACAACATAGAAGGAACAGCGGAGCACCACTCCAGCCCTGCACTGGCTTCCCTCTGCCATTGGGATCACGACTGACAAACAAATCTAAGGATTAAGTCACTGTTATTTTAGTTTCCTCTATTCCTTGTAGCCAAACTTTCTCATAACTAATAAAACGCAAACATACCACACTCAGTGGCAGATGGTGGGTTCTGTGGGGGCTTCTTTATTTGCCATTCATGTCTGCCTTCATTCACCTAGCGTGTTTGGACTTCAATTCTCCCCTCCAGCCACAGATTTCATTCAGGAAAGGTCCAGCTACAGTTGTCGCACACTTGTGACAGAGAGCCAGAGGCTGGGAGGAAGGGGGACAAATTCCAAATCCAGAGCAGAAGGAACCACTTCCCTTCCTTCATTTGTCCTTTCCTGTAGCCAATGCTGACTGATTCTGTGCCAGGTGCTATGTGGTGTCTCACGAATACTCACTAATGACCTACTGATGGAGGCATCATCCCCATTTTCCAGAGGATTGGAAGCAGGTTTTGAGAGGTAAGGAAATGGCAGAGTGAGAATCAGTCTGCTTCCCTGTATCCTGCACTGATTACTTTTTTAGTTATCGAGCATAAATCTGATCAGTGGGAGCTCATCCCGGGTATTCCATAGATTGACTCCAACATGGCAGAGAATGTAATCATCTGAAGAGTGCCCTGTTTCTAGCTCAGGATGGTAAGAAGGTGGGGTTGGGCCATCAGCGAACCCCTGGCCATTGAGTGCCTACCATGCACCCTATTCCCTCACAGTTCGTCATCATCAAGGTGAGGTTTCTGGGGCACCCATTGCTCTGAAAGGCGAATATCCCAGTTTTCTGTGCCAAGCCCCTTGGTCAGAGGCTCGGAGAGCTGGGTTGGGCTCCGTCTTTGCCGCCTGCCCGCTGTGTGCTGGCAGGTAGGTTGGTTAACTGCTCTGGGCTTCTGCAGCTTCCTTCAGGGCCGGTGAGAGTCCCCCCCCGACCCCCCTCCCGCCTTGGCGCGTGCTCCCTGGGAGGACTCCTTCATTCAGAGTGGGCTGACGCTCCTCAAAGAAGTGCTATTTAGGATTATCCAGGAAATTACACTCTCGGTGGAAATTCAGGAACCTTCCGTTGGGCCCCCAAAATAATTCACGTAAATAAATACGCGGTTTCAGTTGCAGTTTCTTTTTATAAAAGAGAGGAAACATTTGAGAAGGAACTGTCATTATAGTTGAAACAGTCATTGTCATCATGTTTTTATGTCCCTTTTATGTCATCATGTTTTTACTTTTGGGAACCTCTTTGAGAAGCAGTCTCATTGAAACGTGTTTCCAAAACTTATTTGGTGACAAGAATCTCTTGGGTTTCTTGATTAAACTACAAACACACAGAACCAGGATCCCTAAAGGGTGGGTATGGGACCAGGACTCAGCACTCATAAGAAGTGTCCAGGGCCTAGGAGTTTCTAGTGGTCAGAGGAATTTGGGGAGTACCCACTGGGCACGTAATGTGGAAAGTCTGGCTCAATGTCTGATGCTCTCTTTTTAGTGTTGGAAAACTCAAGGGCCGGAAAAATGAAATGGCTCATTCATGAGCTTGTAGGAGCTGGGCCTATGTAAACCAAGACTTGAGTTCAAGTTCTGAGGCGACGAGGAAGTCGGAGAGAAATTTGAACCCTGATCTTCCTGCTTACTATCCGTGTGATCTTGAGCAAGTTTTCTATTCAACTCAGGCATCTGTACTAGTGCCGATCATGTCCCTGACTTACATGCTGATGGATGAACGAGAGAGAATCCAACCTGCCCTTGGGTAATCCAGAGCCCGGAGCGGAGACCAACAAAGAGCTCTCAAAGGTAAGGACAGCAGCCAGAGTGGAGGGGGCCCTACAGAGGCACCCAGCCCACCTGGCTTGGTCTGCCGGGACAAGATAGGCCTCCCTGAGAAAAGCTGGTTAAGGGCTCGGAGGATGACTAGTTCTTTGCCAGGTGAGCAAGTGGGAGGAGGGCACTGCAGGTACTGGGAAAGATGTAAAAAGACCAGGTAAGGACCTGAACCAGGGCCTCTTGAGGAGTCAAAGAGAGACCAGTCTAAAGGTGGTGGGCCCCCAGGGAACGGGGGAGGGAGGCTGCTGCAGACTATGCAGGATCTCATCTGTGCACTTCTGCTCTATTCTAAAGGCAGAGGGAAGTCACTCAAAGATTCCAGATGGTCCTATGCCATCAGGTTTTGGAGGCATGTTCCTGAGCCTCCGAATCTTCGTCTATAAATGCAGGGTCATAACTTGCCTCCTGCTCTCCCTCTTGCCCACTAATTTTTCACCCCAGAGGCAGACCAAAGCTCTCAGAATGGAAGCCAGATCCTGTCACTCTTTTGCTCAAAAATCGCTGGTGGTCCCCATCTCAACCAGTACTCAGAACGCTGTCCGAAGTAGCCAGCGTGGCCTATGATCCTCTGGCCCCCATCCCCAGGCCTCCCTGCTGCTTCCCCTCAGGCTGTGCCCTGACCCAGGCCTCTTGGCCCTCCAGGAGGCTTGGCCCTCAAAACCCATGCGTTTCCCAGCCCTTCCCTGACCAAGCCCCTCTCCGGGCAACTCGAACCTATCTCATACATTTGTGTATGCAATTCTCTCTCATGTTCTCCCCCAGCACCATGGGGTGGGGAGTTCAGTGTCTGTTTGCTGCCATCTCCCCAGGTCTGTCTGGTACAGAGCTACCAGCCCATGGTATTTGGGGGTCAATGATGGGATAATACCATAATACTGCATGGTTAATGAGATGCTCAAATAGCAGAATTACTGTATATGTAGTACCGGGAGCTTTAAGTACTTAGCAAGTGGAATCTTCCGGACTCCCAATTAGAAGTCCTTCCCAGGGAGGCCTACAACCCCTGGGCCACCAGTTGCCCCTAGGCGCTTTGCCCTGCCAATCTGTACCAGGCTCTGTCCCTGACTGTTCCACCTGATCCGTGCTGCCAGGTGCTGGCTTGGCTGTGTCCCTAGAGGGGGATAGGCAGTGTGCCACAGTTACTACTCATGCTGCTGAGGGAGTCTGGAGTTTGGCAACTCAAGACTACTCATTGTTCTGCTGCCCCCGGACCCTGTGTGGTCAGAGCCTGGTGTGGCCATCACGCCCAACTGGTGTCAGGTGTACGCCAGGGCACACAATGAATTGGGACCATTTTGCAGGTACAGAAAAAAACAAAGCCCTTCCCTCAAGCTTTGGCTGATTGCTTCTTTTCTCTGACCCTGACACAAATGGACTGTGACCCCAGCACTGTGGACTTGGGATCATGTGCAGAAAGCTCCCCACACAACTTAATGGCAAGGTTCACAGAGATGGCAAAGCCCCCTGCAGGGAGGGTCCAGGCAATATCCCCAGAAGGCTCTCCCCTCCTTGCTTCTTGCTCAGACGTCACAGAGGTGTAAACGAATAAATGGAGGTTGTGAAATCCTCTTCAAGAAAGCAGAACTGTAAGCTGCCAGGGGGCCTTTAAATCCATTTGCTTCAGGAGGGTTGAGGCTGGGCCTCTGGGCTGGCTAGGGAGTTTGGACATGAGCACTGAACTTGGTTGCAAGGTGTTGTGGGTGTTTGTGTGTTTCCATGGTGGAAAGAGAGTTTGTTGGTTTTTTTTTCGATTCTCAGAACCCACCTGTATAAACGTCCAGGAGATGAGAACGAACTCACGTATGATCATTGCGTGGATGACAGCTCAGCCTCCGATTGTCCCAGGACCTCCTGCCAGGTCACCAGTACTGTTCCGGACAAAACAAGGGGCAGATTAAAAAACAGCAAGCACAGAAACAATACAAACCAAGCTTAAAAAAACAAAGCAGAGCAAAAAGAAATACACCAACATGTTAGCCACGATTGTCCCAGGAGCAGTGGGGCAAAAGTCTTTTCCTTTCCTGTTCTTTTTTTTTTATTTTTCCAGACTTTCTATTAAAGAAACCTGTGGCCCTTTATCATTAGAAGAAGAAATTTTCTTCTTTCCCCCCAGACAATTCTCAGCTTTCTTTGAAGGGAAAAAAAAATCACTGTAATTGTATAAGAGTATCTATCTTCTTTTCATATTTTTTAAGGTTCTTTTTTTTTTTTTTTTAAGATTTTACTTATTTATTTGTCAGAGAGAGAGAGAGTGAGTGCACACAAGCAGAAAGAGTGTCAGGCAGAGGCGGAGAGAGGAGCAGGCTCCCTGCAGAGCAAGGAGCCCGACTCAGGACTCGATCCTATGACCCCGGGATCATGACCTGAGCCAAAGGCAGTGGCTTAACCAACTGAGCCTCCCAGGCGTCCCATTTTTTTTAAGTTCTTAAAGTTATTTTTTTTGTTGTTCAAGTTTGCAGGGGGTATATTTTGGTAACCAACTTTTCTGGAAAAAAAAAAAACGTGAAGGTTTAGAAAAGCATTACCGTTCACTCTGGAATTATTTCATTTAAGAAGTTCATAGATATGCTTTAAAGGACAATTGTCATGTTCTGGTAAGTTCCAATAAACAGCAGAGTGCATTATTTGGAAACATGCTTTTTTTATGGATAGTTTTTTTTTATTATTATTTTCATGTAATCAACTGTAAAGTCTTATTTCTTCAGGGACTGAGCTAAATTCAGTGAGCT